TACGAGCTACAAACATGACTGTTTCTGCTATACGTTTTATGAAGACCTTCAGGGCTGGTTATCTTGAACCAGAGGTTTTTCACCTCAATCCGGAAAAAAGTGACACTCAGATCTTTAAAAAAATTATCCGATTTGTGCCTTCTTCACTTTCTTGGTTTGGTGCCTACATGGTCAATGCATACCCCCTAGATATGTCTCAGTACTTCAGGCTTTTCAATTCTACGCGGCTGCCTAAGCTCAACAGAGATGAGCTTTATACAGATGAAAAGGCAAAACATTTATTAGTACTGAGAAATGGGAATTTTTATGTATTTGATGTTATTGATAGAGATGGAAATATGCTGAAACCTTCAGAAATACAAGCACACTTGAAATACATCCTTACTGACAACAGTCCAGCCCCAGCCTTCCCGCTTGGCTACCTCTCCAGTGAAAACCGAGATACATGGGCATTGCTGAGAAAGAATCTACTGGATAATGGCAATGAAGAAGCTCTTCAAAAAGTAGATTCTGCTGTGTTTTGTTTAAGTTTAGATGATTTTCCCATTAAAGACTTTGTGCACTTGTCCCACACTATGTTGCATGGAGATGGTGCTAACCGCTGGTATGACAAATCCTTTAATCTTATCATAACTAAGGATGGCACTGCAGGAGTTAATTTTGAACATTCCTGGGGAGATGGTGTGGCTGTGCTCAGGTTCCAGAATGAGGTTTTTAAAGATAGCATTAAGGCACCAGCCATCAGCCCGCAGTCCCAGCCTGCTTCAGTAGACTCTTCTAGAGCAGTGCAGAAACTTGACTTTAAGCTGAATGATGCCTTAAAAGCAGGAATTACCAAAGCCAAACAGAGATTTGATGCCAATGTAGAAGCACTGTCTCTTAATCTGATTCAGTTCAATGAAGGGGGCAAGGACCTTCTCAAGCAGAAGAAGGTAAGCCCAGATGCTGTGGCTCAGCTTGCCTTCCAGATGGCTTTCCTTCGACAGTACAATCAGACTGTTGCTACATATGAGTCTTGTAGTACTGCAGCTTTCAAACATGGTCGTACAGAAACTATACGTCCTGCCTCTATCCATACAAAGAAATGTTCGGAAGCTTTTGTCAGGGAACCGTCCAAACATAGCACAGAAGAGCTTCAGAAGTTGATAGTGGAGTGCTCAAAATACCATGGCCGTTTGACAAAAGAAGCTGCTATGGGTAAGTAGGAATTTATCAAACGCTCTTGCTTTTGCACTAAAATGTCTGTTAAGGTCGCTGTAAACATTTACTTCACAGCTAAATAATTTAATTTTGATGGAGGTCTAATGTAAACTTGACAAAAACAGTAGCTGAAGGCTGCAGTTCAAAATGCATTCTCTAAGACTCGTTTCTTGATGGAGGAGAATGCCTCTGTGCTTCCCACTTTGCTGTTAATACGTTGAGAATTTTTTATACTTCAGTTTTTGTCCTTATAACAGCTGGGCTATTTGAAGATTTGATAAATAATTAGTGCATATTGTACTCCCCAAGGCAACGAAGAACTTTGTCTTTATGTCTGAGGAGTTACTATCTTAGCTCTGCAGGGGATAAGGCTTTAACAGCTTTCAAATCAAACTGATTCTTTGGCTGTGCTACTCCTGGTATTTTTCTAAATGCTTGCTTTTGCATTGGCCTTCCCAGAAGCATAACTTGTTGTATTGTTTCAGGAAAATTGACTGTTGAACATTACCCCCTAGAGTCTAAAATTTGCCTCCCTTTGTTGATGCAAGATCCTCTTCCTCTTTAGATTCATAGATTTTAGGAAAGCCTTTCCCTGTTTTAAATAACTTGCATATGTTCAGAAAAATAGTTAATCAAAGAATGCGATGCATTATTAAAATTGTCTGTTAACATTGCACTTTTGTTTACTATCATGATTCCTGGTTGAGGCTAGCAGTAAAACAACAAGCCCTCATTCCCTAGGATATGCGTATTAAAAGTGCAGAATGTCCGGGTTCTGAAAAATAATTCCTGCTAATACAAAAATAAACCCCAGTTCTATAGATCTCTTTTGTGGCTGTAAAACAATGTGATGTCAAGATAAGTGAGTTTACTTCCCACAAAAATTAGTCATCTCTCTAATACTTGTTATTTTATTTTAACAGGCCAGGGATTTGACCGACATCTCTTTGGCTTGCGCTATTTAGCCTTATCCAAAGGTGTTGCACTGCCTGATTTCTATCAAGACCAAGCCTATGCTCGGCTTAATCACAACATCATTTCCACAAGCACATTGCTTAGCCCAGCTGTGCAATTAGGAGGGTTTGGCCCAGTGGTGTCTGATGGCTTTGGAGTAGGATATCAGGTACACGATGATTGGATAGGTTGTAATGTTTCCTCTTACCCAACTAGGAATGGTAAAGAATTCCTTCAGTGTATCTACAAGTCACTAGAAGATATCTTTAATGTTTTAAAGGGCAAGAAAATTGGTAGTTAGAGATAAAAATGTTGGAACACTTTACAGTTGCAGTACAAAATGCAGACTGTGTCTAATTGGCATACTAATCAGTGTTCAGTGTGGCTGAGACCACCCAGCTTAATTGGCTTCATTTATCCATTTGTCTTCATTGAACTTGAATACTGTCAGATTCACTATGAAATCTGTATCTGTTTTAAAGAAATAAAGTACAGACCTTGAATGCATGTTTCAGGAAATACAAACATTCACAATGTCAAAATTAAGTAACATCCATCTGTTCCAACAGATCCACGTGTTCTTAAAACACATTATTTAAAATAAAAAGCATTGTTACCAAGTTTATGAACTTGGAACATCTGTGTTCCATAAGTGTTCAGACAGACTACAGTACTGTGATACCACTCTTAAAGAAAGTATATGCAATAATTTTAAATATGAAAGAGTGGTTACATTTGCAGTCTTGCAGTAAGCTTGCTTACTAACTTGTCACACTTAACTTTTCTCTTTAAACTTGAATCGGTATCAGAGCTGATTGTGCCTCAACTGCTTGAAGCCTTTCTACTGTAACAGCTTTTTGAGAAACAAAAAATGAAGTGGGAGGCTTTAAGTAACCTGAAATCACCAACTGTGTTGTTAAATTGACTGGAAAAGACTGTATTGTAATAAAGCTATCTATTAATAGCTACAAAGTTATTTTATTGCCACATCAAAATTATACAGTATGGTTAGTCCCTTTATCAATAGCTCACGTTTCTTAGAAAGGTTGAAAATACTACTACTGAAAGCATTCTGCAGTGTTGGCTTTCCCCTTCCATACATGAAGTCTGTCCAATAATCTGCTTTTGTTTTGCTACATGAACTATCGTGCCTTAAAAAAGAAAAATTACTGAACTTTATCTTTTGAGGTTTTCTCTTTCCAAATTTCCTCTTACTGTGGAATAGTAACCTCAACAGAATGTTTTCCTGTTTCCTCCTTGTTCTATCAGCTAGAACTTTTGATATTATTTATTGTAGCAAATGCCAGAGTCTTAGTGCCTAGAGCTGCATCTTTAATGCATTGGGGCTTGTTGCAGAAATTCTAAAGACCAAGGCTTATCAGAACTTTCTGACAGATTGCAGGAGAGCTTGAGCATAGGTATCAGTAAAACTTAGCAATGCTGTGAATGTGAGATGAAACTGATGCAAACAAGTTTCTCATGTGCTGTGCACAACTGGGATTCTGCCAGGTATGAAGTGGGTGGATAGCAAAAGGGGAGGAGGCCTTTGTCACTCAAGATGCCAGAGGTGCTCAGAGTTGCTGGGATTACAACACAGATGCCTTTTGCATGAGATACTCCTTTTTGCACAAAATTCATTATGGTGTGTGTAACTTGGAACTCCTCTGCTTTTTAAACCCTCTTGATTTCCACTTCTTCTGGGAAGATCAGTTTCTCTGGAGCTGAATAGCACACTAGTGCTTGCTTCTGCAGCTCTGTGTAAAATTAATGCAGCTCATGTCTTTCAGCACAGCCCACTGTGTCCTGGAGAACAGAATACATTAGCAGAACATAGAAGTCTGAGCATGTTGGTTGGATGTGACAGATCAGGTTCAGAGGCCCAGAAACCTACTTCCTTTTACTCTTCCTTTGGCTATCTCAGCTTTCAGGTTCTCCCAGTGTCTTTTTTCTTTATCAGAGTAAGTGTAAGCAACACTGTATCTTGAAGTATGAACTGCAACTACTAGGAAGGGGAGAAACATGCTTTAAATATGTAAGCCTGAAGGCTTATAAACTTTCCTAGTCAGGGCTGTTTGCTCTGCAGCCTGTAAGCTGTTCTAGTTTTCAGCTGAAAAGGATTATTTTTAAACTTACTTGAAAACTTACCACGATTGTTCTTGCTCATTTAAACAAAGGAAGGTGATCATTTGGGAGGATGAAGGAAATAATACATCAGGAAATAATAATCAGACCAAAAGTCTTTGAATGAAATTCACTAAAGAAGATTTGGGGGGGGGTGGTGGTGGTGGTGGTGGGCTTTTTTTGTTTGTTTTTTTAAACATGAGAACAGCTGGCAAGATTGTAAAAGCACTTGCCAAGAAGTAGCAAGTCTGGTTTCTTCTATCAGAAAGAGAGTGAGGTTTACTTAATGACATAGTCAGAAAGATAACTTGATTTTCAGAAGATTGTAACAGCTATGTGTGTCAGTAGCAGTCAAGCTTAATGAGTGTTCTCAGTAAACTCACCTCAGTGTCTTTACTTGAACTGGCAGAAAGCTACTAAAGATGTACCTTTTCCCTTGCACAGTTAACACAGTCCCTTTACTAATAGTCATAGCCATTTCCTGATGATAGGAGTGGTGAGTGAAAAGACCTTATTTGCTCATGTTAGAGAATCAAATGTGGGTACTTCTTGGTCACAGGCTATAAAAACTTTAAGGCTGTAAGTTGTGTAAATAGTTAGTGTTGATACAATAGTTAAGTTACAGTCCACCACAACCATTCCCCAAAAAAGACAACCTTAAGAAAATGGCACAGTTCAGTCAAGCGTATATACTATTTTCAGTTTGTACTGAGGCCATCTCAAAGTGCTCTGTGGGAAATATTTTATTAGGGCATGCTGGGGACAGTAAGTACAACTTAGGTTTCCATTTCTGAAGTACAGCCATGTGAAAAGTAACTCCAAGGAAATTGCGTCTCTGATGGTTACAGCTCCTTCATCAATAAGCATGTCAGGATTTATTAGGGGTATGAACTTTAGCATTTTACAAATTTGTGGGTAACTTCATAGATTCCAACAGATTCCTTTGTTTTTTCATCATAGTCATTCCAATCCTATAGGAAATAAGATTTCACAGTATTAGTCACAGGATAGAATGCAAATGTGTCTAAAACACAGACTGGAATTCAAACTGCAACTAAGCCTTACTCAAAATTTGGGTCTTAGATTTCTGTAGAAAGAAAGCACAGTCACTAAGCTAAGTTCTGATAGCTGAGAGAAGCAAGAGCACTGACCTGAAATCAAATGAGCTTCAGTCTCAGCGTTTTTATTTTAACAACGATTTCTTTTTTTTCATATGTAGTCCACAGCCTGTAGTGGACAAGACCGCAACCATGGCAGATGAAAGGATTATCTATCATATACAATACCCTAGTCAGGTGGGTAAGCAGACACACAGATCCCTGCCAAGTAGGATACCAGAGAACAGATTTGACCTTGAGATTCTTGCTCACAGCCAAGGAAGATCTGCAATGCTGGAGTCATTATCCTGAGCTTTGAAGGACAGTGTCTTTATATTACTTTTTAATATCTTTGCTCACAGGAAAAAGTGCAGGCATCTTCCTAGAAAAATCAGTTCACCACTCTGAATAACCCCAGCCGTTTAGTATTCCAGGTGTTTGCTCTCTGGGATTCCTGGGTGACTTAAAGAAAAGTTTCATTTCTGTCTTTGTCAGCTGCTAAGCTATCAAATATGTACTTCTAAAATGATGCTGTTAGTAATGCTGGTTGTTCATAGTTGATTTAATTTCTCTCTCCAGCTATGACCTTCCTGTGCCTACATGAAAGAGCAAAACTAGCCTCTTGCATGTGTAGGGTGTGTATTTTGGACTAGTGACTTAGAGAAAGAAAGCTAGATAATTAGATTTACTAATGAAACTCAGACAACATACCTTTTCTAACAAGTTTATGTCATTGAAGGGTGTGCCAGATTCTGCACCTTCAGCGGCAAACCCTGCCTGCAAACACATTTGCAGTAAGTTTTCAAGAATAAGTTGTACCAAGAAAATAATAAGTATGATCACTGAAACATATTTAAAGAAAGTAACTCAGCACAAACTTTTATTGTATTTCTTCTAAATTAGGTAGAAAGAATGGTCAAGTTCTTCCTCGTTAAGGGTCAGTATAAGGTTGTGACGCTGCTTGTCAATTGGGAAAATTCAATCTAAGCAACCATAGAGTAAAGTGAGGGAACACTGCTCCTCTGTTTTTCCTGCCAAAAAGGTACTTCCAAATATTCTAGATAAAGTTAAACCTGAGTTTCAGAGTTTATGTAGCAGTATCTAACTACTAATAGCTTTACTTTGTGTTCAGAATCCATACAGGCATTATGTATAAAAGAGCTTCATAATAAACTTAGACTGCAAGAAAACAATAGAAAGAAAGTGTGGAAGAGAGTTAATAGTTTTGGCTTAAATATCATCAGAATCCAAGACACTCTCGAGAAGGAGCAGCCTGTATTGGATTTAGGTACAGAAGTGACTAGCAAGCTTTACATGAAAGGAAGATCAGCTGGCTGACTGAACAGATTTGTATACTCAAACATTTCAAAGGGGAGAGTTCTTCACTTGCTGTTTCTAAAGAGCTGAAGGAAAGCATAGCACTAGGAAGGAAACAGTGGGGCATAGCACAAGAACAAGGTGTTCTGTTTTATATTCTATAGCAACAGCTCTCTCATTTTAGGGTTCACAGTTATCAAGCTGTAAATTAAGTTTTATTAGTTTTAAAAGTAAATTTAAGAATCTCAGTCACCTCTGTAGCATACAGGAAGGTTTCTTACACTGCCATTTCTAACTACAGAATTTTATTAAGAAGTGGCTAAAAAGCAAAGGTAGCTTCTTCCTGGTTTTTCTGCAAGGGATCTACACTTGCATTTTTGATAAAGAAATCCCCACTAGTGCCAGTCAGACATTTAACTGTGTAAGAATGTATGAAGTAAGCCACATGATTTTGAAGTATTTCGGGATTTGAATGGAAGGTTAAGCACTTGGGAGTTAAATAAACCATGGAGTGTGGCAGACGTAACAACAGAAGAGCTATCTGCAAGGCACAGTGTGAATATGGCCTTTATATAATTGTCAGAAGCCCATCTCAAGGGAACTGCTTGGGGTGGAGAGGAAGATCAGCATCATGGGACAAAACCACAGAGCTGCAGTATAGAACAAACACTAGAAAAATAAAAGAAGCCCTGCTTTTGCCACCTAGAGATATTTACCAGCCCGCCAAGGAACAAGACGCCATGTGACTGGAATTACAAGCTTCTGTACTAGACACTCAGCGGGACTTGCATTCTTACAGGTTTGGCGTCAGAGCAGAGACTCGCTTAATCTCTGCAGAAGGGAGCTGGGACGGGCGGTGACTTGTCTGCCCTCTGCTGACTAGCGAAGGACCAACAGCTAAAGCATACACGCGCCGAAAAAGCAAAAATGCCTACTGACTTTACAACGCAGTGAATTGTCACACTTTTGTTACCAATGAAACTATTGTGCCACAAAGCAAAGAAGCTTAAGAAGGTTTAAGAGAAATTGCATAAAGAAATCTCAATTTTTTAGCTGAGGCATTCACTTGAGGGACAAGGACAGGAAAGGAGCTGAACTATCCTCTAGTAAAACCAAAAATTACGCATCAGATTTGCAGTAGATGTATCTACTTAAGCACATTAAACAAGAAAGATAAGTAATTGGGGGGAGAAAAGTTGTCTTTGCCCATTATTAGAACACGCAAGTACCTAGTTTGAATTTGTTGCTGCTACTAGGTAGGAAGAGGGTTTATATCAGAGAATCAAAGGATACTTTCTCCTCTTTCAGACTCAAATGATTTTTTTGAGAAAACTACTATAAATTTTAAAAAGACATGAAAGTATTAAGCCACTCTAAATTGACTTCAGGTGTGGTTGCATTAGGTCCATCAAAAACCACAAAGAAAATACAGTAATGCTATGGCCAGTCCTGTTTGGTGCTAATCAAAAGCCAGACCTAAGGTTGTGGAGAAGCCAGGCTAGCTTGGATCATGTCAAATATAAAGCAGTTTATAGAATTGTTTGGAACTGCAGAAGTCTCTATATTTACTGGTTTAGGCATCAGAAAATTCACTGAAATATCTGCACAGGGATTCAAGTGTACTGTCCAACAGAGTGCATAGACCACACTTTAATAATATTAAATTAAAAGCTTTATTACAGCTGTGATGTCTTTGTTCTGCAGATAAAAATAAAATCGATGGCTAGAATGCAGAGCTATAAACATCTACATTTTGTAGTCTTCTCATAGATTTTTCATTAAGTGCAAGTTCCTAGGTCTGGCTACAAAGCTTTCAAACAAGAATAAACCAATAACCATTCTGTCCTCAAAAAGATGGGCTTTGCTTAAATAAATAAGTAAAAGAAGACTTCCTGCAGCACACTGTAGTGGTGATTTTATTTATACCAAATTCTTTGTAGGATCAGCTTTTTTGGTCTGTTTCTTAGCACAATGTCACAGTCTGAGGGAAGGATAAGACAGGTTTATATTTGTCAATCTATTTACACCTAATCCGACTGGAATAATAGGTTAAATATAGCAGGGAGTTAGCTTGCATACAGCATGACCATGCACAAGCAAATGAATCACTGAAGACTAGCTTGGCCCTGAAGAAATCCTTTAACTCTGAACCTTGAAGTGTGCTTTGCAACAGTCTTTAAGTGCTGTCGCTCTTCAGTCTTTGTCTAATCAAGTTTCAAATGGGAAAATGCCAATACTAATTTCTCTCTAACATACCAAAAAGCAAAATGGTGCTTTCCTGAATGTGGCTAATTATGCAGTTTCGCAATTCCTCTTCGGGAAGGACTCTCTTCTGCAATAACCTGAGCAATGAAGACCTTTCGAATGAATTTAAATGAGCAGTGCTGAGCCACCTGTAAGGCAATTTGAATATGAGTCCAAGCCTGTTTCATTTTAGATTTTACTGGCACAAAGAATACCGGAGTTGTTAGTGTTAGCTACTTGTGGGTTGCTGCTTTTTTTTTGTTTTGTTTTGGGTTTTTTTTGAGTCAAGTGAAGTAAAAGAAAGAACTGTGAAGAGGATGGAAAACTGGGGAGGTCTAGGACGTTCCAGGAAGAACAGTACCATTTCAAACAGTGTGTATTTTATTACTCTAGATTCTATAAGAAGTACTCTTAAAAACTGAGGAACAAATCATAAATAAGAACTTGCCTGTGGTTGAAAGTCAACCGGTTCCAGACCTCGGCATTCAAACTCCACTATCGTTTTGAATTTTTCGCTGTCTTCAGCCTATAATTGAGTCAGAATACCATTAGTTTTCATCTAATAGAGAAAGACAGTGACAAGCATTAGTCTAGGATGAATTGCTTTAAAGGCAGTACTATCGACTCTGATGTCCCAAGTGACAGCAAAATCCTAGGGCTCATTTAATAGGTGGTAATTAACTAGAATTTCTTGGTCTGCCACAAGGAAGCCTTCAAAAGGAAACTAATACGGGTATTATGTAATCACTTCTAATTTGAGTGATACAGTTTTGTCATTTGCTTATGAAATGTACCAGATTACTCTACACTTGAGACACTGTGCAGGAGTCTACAAGAGACAATTTTCTGTCAGGGGAGAATATCAGCTTTTTGTATTCTTGAAAGAGGAATGTGACGATAAAGCAAAACCTCAAAATATTATTAATGTTTATTTATCTTGTTATATAAAAGAGAAAACAAACTTACATTGTAAGGCTTGATTGTCTGACTTAAAATATCTAAAAAAAAAAAATACATCAAGTGTAAAAGTGAGTGGCATTATGTCTTCAATTTTATTCAGCACAAATCAAGCACCAGCTGCTTACTTCAAAGAAATTTCCTTATACAAAGTAAAAGAAACAAAGTAACCAAGCAGTTCCTGCAGCTGGCCCTCAAAAGGTAGAATTCAGTTTTTCTCAGTTCTTCTTAGAAGTTTACATTACACCATTTTGTTACCCTACCAATGCAAAAAAAAAAAAAAAAGCACGCTTTTGTAAAATGACATTACAGATATGAGTTTTGTTCATGCAGAAACCTGAAGTCACCAGGAGGCTTTGCTGTCTCCTTCATGAGCATGATGACAAGTATGTACCTGTTTGTGAACTTGAGCACCAGTGTACAAGGAAAAAAATCCCTGGTGAATCCTCTTTACAAACAGTGTCAAGCAAAAATGGGGACTAAAAAATAAACTTAGAAGAAAAAGTGTAAAATGGATGATGCCTCTTAAATTTCTAAGCACATACCAATGGAGTTCTCCCTGGAGCACAGCTTGCATTTCTGCACCATAGTGGCGCTTCCTCTGCCTCCTTTCAGGGGAGCACTGTCCTAAAAACCACGACAATAGAGACCTCATTTTTAACTGCACTCTAGCTGAGCCACTGGAAACCTCTGCAATGGTAAAGTAGTTTTTATAACAATGGTCTTTTAACTTTTTAAAAATATTGCAGTGAGAAGGCTTTTTTTTTTTAAAACTAAAGGAATCTATAATTCAGAAAGCTGTGATTAGCAAAGAATAGTTGTGTTCTAGACTTAAAACAGTGAATAATGGATAGTTATGTCTTGTCCATATAGGTATGTTCCATTAATTCCTCCAAATACACTCTTAACACTCAGTAGTATGCAAAGGGATGATTATTCCTAAGAACAGGACCTTCTCTTATCCCTGACAAATTTTATCCTGCTTTTCCAGTTTCCAAATACTAATTTAGCATCCTTAACTCACCTTGAATTACCTAAACTTCTCCAAAAAGATTCAATCAGCATCAGAGAAATATGCTATAAGCACAACCTTATTCTGACATCACTTAAAAATTTGTTTTCAAATCATATTTTTACAGAAAGGCGGCTTTTCAAAGCAGACGTAAATACTTGGTCACCAACAGTCACCATTCCAATGGCATGTTTCAATTAACAGTCGCCAATTTTTTTTTTTTAATATGGAATATGACAGCATTTCCTGAATGCATTTAGCTATTAAAATACTACCTCATCTAACGTGTAAGTTGTCACATCCCTGATGGTAATATCCCTTGCATGTAAGAGACAGGTTTGTTTTCTCATTTTTGTTCTGATGCAGGTTACAACAGGGAAACGTACCATCAATCGCAGATACTGCCATTTTTCAGAAACTTCACCACAGTTCCCACATTTCAGCTGAAAAACAAACATAAACCAGAGAGTTTAAAGCTGACAATAATTGGGGATTAAAAAGCCAAAGGAGCTGATGTGAGCCCTCCAGATTCACAATCCTCGCTGCCTCCCAGCTGAGAGGAGCCGGAGGCAGGTATGGGCTGCCATCTATCCTGCCAGGCCCGCGAGCTGACTCGACCTGGCAGGTATGCCCGCTGCAGAGGGTCTGCCCTTCGGCGCGTTGGGTGGAAAACGCGTTACAAAGCACGGTCACGAGACGGAAGATGGGAATAGCGCATCTCGCCGTTCACCTGGGTTACCTGCCACTGGATGTTGGACTACCAACCACCTCACCAATGGAGGCACTGAGCAACACTGTGAACTTCAGACTCTTCCTTATTGCGAACGTATAGCGTCATGCATGTACTAACGCACACCTATCCATATACTTACACCATCCCATTCGTTGCTCCGCTAGCAGCCGGCTCGCACTGTGTGGAAAAAAACCCCCACAACCGCTGCTTAAGCCGAGTGATGCGACATTCACCACCACCGGCCTTCGCCGCCGGCTGCCCCGCTGGGCAGTCTAACGGGCTCCGAACACCGGGCACGGCCTTTCCCGGCTCCCCACGACCCCGCGGCCGCCGCCCCCGCCCGCCGCACCTTGAGGTACCAGCGGAAGTCCTCCCCCTCGGCCCGCAGCCGGGTGATGTTCTCCAGCGTGGCGCGGAGCTGCAGCCCGATCCTCTGCAAGGCAAGAGGCAGCGAGAGAGGCCGTCAGCTCGGCTCGGTTCGGCTCGGCTCGCTTCAGTGCGGCCGGGTCGCGGCTCCTACCTACCCCCATGGCCTCGCAGGGTGCCCGGCAGCTCGGCCTGACGGCCCCCCCTCAACCCCGTCCCGCCTCTCGCGGGAGCAGCTGCGGGCTTCAAGCCGCTCCTGCGTGGTTTTAGTTCTGGGTTTTTTTGTTGTGTTTTTGGTTTTTTTTTCTTCCCGCCCTC